GCTGACACTTCAAATATTTTATGGGGAAAATATAAACAAAGCAAAGTTTACGTATTTGGGGGGAAAAAGACACAGGAACAACTTCCCCTCATTATTGTTGATGAATTGTTTGAAGCATGTCATTCCAATGAAGCAACCAGAAAATGAACAGTAAAGACAGTAAACATGTAGTAAGAAAATAAACACTCAGCAGATCAAGGACAAGAAATCTGTCACAGCTGCCAATAAGGACACAAGTGGGAAGGAATCCACACGTGTTTGTCATTCTTGCTCGTGTCAGCAGACAGTTCAAAGGTCCATCCTAATATCACTGCTCCAGGCCGGTAAGACCCAGGTCCAGGCCCGCTGCCCGCCTTCCAAGGACCCTCCCTGCGGGGCTGGGGACCGGAGGAGGGAGATCAAAGGGGCTGAGCTCTCCCAGGACATCTGCCCTGAGCGAGGGGTCCTAAGTTGATGAGGAAGTGAGGGACGTGGCATCACCAAGAAGGACTTGAAAACTGTCAGCTGGAGAGAGGAAGCGGGTCACTGCCGACCCAAGGACCGCAGACAGGACCCCACCTGTGAGTGGTGTGTGGCGGGATAGCGGGGGAAGCACGGTCTGGAGGACAGGTTCTTGTCTGGGTGACACATGGGAAGAGAAGCAAAGGGAGGGGGTCAGGTTGAAGCGGAGCAGGACCCTAGGGTCCTTCCCCTTCTAATCATCCTCCGCCTACCTTTGGTCTGTGGAAAAACTTTAGCCAAAGAATAAGTTTAATCAGAGAAGTGAGAAAATGCAGAAACAGAGGAAAACAGCCCAACAAGACTAAATAATAACAGTTTAGTCATTAAGCAGAGTCAAGGACCTTTAGTTCCTTTTCATGGGCTATAGATCATATTCTGAGCCGTATCCCGTGAGCTGTCTTGTAGATACTGAAACCCTCCACCCACCAACTCCATGATGACCAGGCTGTAGCCGTGGCATAAGCTGCCACGATCCTGAGAACTGGCCTCAAGGAAATGGGAACAAACGACCCTGGAACTGAAGAGTCCCTGTACCTAAAACAATCAAGAGGACGCTGGTCAGACCACCGATGACCAGTTTCAAGATGACTGTCAGAGCTGCCTGGGCTGTTTCTGCACGGAGCCCCCTCCCTCCGCCTGTAAAATCTCTTGCCCCCTGATGGGAGGGGGAGGGGGAGGGATGGCGGGGGCGGGGGCGGCCTTTGGACAGGCGTCCGCTCTGCAACCCCACCCCCGCCCCAGTTACCGGCATACAAAATAAAGCAAACTTTCCTTTCCACCAACTTGCCTCTTTATTGGCTTTTGAGCGTCGAGCAGCCGGACCCCACTTCCGGGTACAAGGCGACGGGGGACCAGGATCGGAGCCACGTGTCCCGAAGCTCTGGCCTCTGGGGCGTGAAAGGAGGTTTAATGCAATGATCAATGACAGAGAGACCCACCTCTTCTTCCAAAACTCACCTTTGTCCTTTGATTGGATTCGGTGTTAACTGAGTGACATGCTCACAGTTTCCTGCTAAATTTTTTTTTAAGAGAAGACACAAATGAGGTTTATGTTTTTTCTCTACTTTTCACCCATTTCTCCCACCTCTACCCCTTGCCCCTGGCAACCACCAATCAGTGGTTAGTTTCCTACTAATTTTTAACAGCTGAGAAGTCACTACTGAGTTAACCTAATCTATGCTAGTGGCCTTTAAAACGGAAGTGAAATGTGCAAAAATTAAAGGAACTCACCATTTAAAAGAAATCTTTGTCTACTGTATTTTTACAATGACTTAAATATATACAGAAGTCTAAAAAATGTTGACTACTTCTGCAGCCCTGAAAAGGAGCAAGTATTTCAAATACAGTCCATGTACAAAGATAAACCAGCTTTTTTGAAACTTGTGTTTCTCCTAGAGGGCTTGTCTGATTAGACCCTAGCTGCCCTTTCCCCTCCTGCAACATACTGATTGATAAGTGATAGGCGTGAATCTAGAGGTAGATATAAAGACAATCATAGAGATGATCTGTCTATCCATCTACAACTTTAAACCATTTAATTTTCTTAGATTCAAAATCACGATTATTATGTGAACTAAAGTGTAAGCTTCCAAATACTTGGGTGAAAAGCAAAAACGTCTAGAAATTTTCCTACAGGCCATCAGGCACTAAGATATGTATAATTTAAGCTTATAGGCAACATTCCTTTAGTGATTAACTTGTAGCAAAAGCAGCAGAATACAAAGGTTAAAGTAAAAGAAACAGATCCAATGTGGAGTCAGCTTTGTTCCTCCCGGTTACAGTTTCAGTTCCAAGAGGAGTCAACATGGCCAGAATCCAAGCGCCTAACTGAGCAGAACCAAGGCGCTGGGTTCTGCCCTTGGGCACCAGGCCCTCCAAACTTACCAAGCTGTGGGCAGTGGGAGTAAGAATTCCCTGCGTGGGTAACTGAGAGGGGGCCCTGCCCCCTCCCCTCCCACTGCAGTTGGCACGGGGAGACACCCCCACACCCTAGCCGCGGGTTCACCACCTCCTGTGAGAATCACCCAGCCTCACGGGGTCTGTCCCTCCAGTGGCATCGTGTCCACACCGTCAGCGGGCTGTCCAGCAATTCATCAAGCCAGCTGCTTCCGGGGGATGAGACCCACGGTCGCACCAGTGAATTTGGTGGGCAGAAGCCCAGTGTTGCATTGTTTCCCTTAAAAATAGTTCCGTGGTCAACAGGACGTTCCATGGGAAGCCAGGACGATAGACAAGTCCTCCTGCGAGAGCGTGGACTGTAATGATGGCAGAAGCGCTTTGGGCAGGACAGGAATCTACATCTTAGGGATTCATTTCTGCACGAGGAGAAACTGCTACCCCGTTAACAGCCGGAGGATCCACGTGATCTGCCTGGAAGGGGGCTGCAGTGGGGACTCAGAGCCACCTCTTGTGGCAACAGCTACGCCACGGCGACGGCGATGTTGCTAAACTCTCACACACACCCAGCATCGCAGTCTCTCTGCAGGTTGGACCACGGAGCAAGGATCCAGGGGAGGACGCGGCTGACATCCTGCAGGACTGCCCACCTGGCCCACCTGGCATTGAAAGCTCTTTGTGACGCTCGTGGGGCATCAGTACCCCCAGCTCTGTGGTGACCTCAACATCACCCATCACCCCAGCCGCTGGTGCCCCATGAACCCCAGCCCAGAGCAGCGTGGATTCCTGCCTCGGGCCACCTCCCCCTAGTGCAGCGGATGACGCAGTTTCCAGAACGGTTGCTTGGAACAGCCTCAAGCTCCCCACAGAGAGACTCTACCTCCACTAGTGTTTTTGGGGTCTCTCCTGACCAGGGCTGCGAGGGGCAAACAGCAGCTCATGGCTGGGGCCAGCGGCACATGAGTTAGATCACTAACCCAGGCTGCACCTTCTAGGTGATGTGCAGGAGGCAGGAGGCAAAGCCGTAGACGGGGAGAGGCAACCGGAGGGGGCCGTGGGTTCTCTTATGCCTCCAGAACGGCTGAGGCCCGGTCTCGGCTGTAGTTGTTCATTTTATTTATTTATTTTTCTTTTGCGGTACGCGGGCCTCTCACTGTTGTGGCCTCTCCCGTTGCGGAGCACAGGCTCTGGACGCGCAGGCTCAGCGACCATGGGCTCACGGGCCCAGCCGCTCCGCGGCATGTGGGATCTTCCCGGACCGGGGCACGAACCCGTGTCCCCTGCATCGGCAGGCGGACTCTCAACCACTGCGCCACCAGGGAAGCCCTGTAGTCGTTCATTTTAAACGACGCTGTCATGCACATCTGGCGTTATGCTGCGGGATCAGACGGCAGTTCATGGAGGGTGACCCGGGCTGCAGACGTCTGGTGTTCCGTGGTCAGGTGGCCAACACCTCCCCACACCCCGGGCCAGAAGCAAGCAGCTGGCTTGGCAGATGGTGCAGATGGCAGGAGAGAGCACAGGTTTCGTGCAGAGCCCCAGGGCTCCCCGGAAGCCCCTTACTGCAGCTCCCAAGGGCTGGGGAGCCAGAGCCTCCCCTCCCAGACACCTTTCCTGGTGGTTCTGGGCAGAGTGCAGCTAATGAGACATGGCCACAGGGCGACCTTCCCCCAGAGGGTGGCTGACCAGCAGCTCCCGTCGGCTTCCCGGCAGTCCGCTCAGCTGAGCTGTGCCCTCCCTGGCTGTGTCTGGACCTCTGCGCTGGTGGGGAAGCTTGTCTGAGCCGGGGCAGTGGGTGGGGATGGCCGCTCCTACCTCTGCTCTTCCCATGTCCTTCAGACCTGTCTCTACTCACAGCCCTCGTCACCCCAGTTCCCTTTCTGTTCAGCTCCTCCCTTCACATTACAAGGGGATTTCTATCTCCTGAGGGACCCTGTCTGATCTGTCAGTGGCACATGCAGCTCAGAGTCCATCCCTGCAGCGCTGACGGCCACAGACGCCCAGCCCCACCGGGTGATGGTCTGAATCTCAGAGCCCATCCCTGCAGCGCTGACGGCCGCAGACGCCCAGCCCCACTGGGTGATGGCCTGAATCCGAGCCACAGCTCCGGAACCCCCAGAGGTCACTGGCATAGACGGCAACCAGTTAACAATACGGGCATTAAGACCAGGGCGCACCCCAATAAAGAGAGGATCCCTCCTTGCCCACTTCCCTCCTAATATGTGTGGCAAAAAGTGTTCTTTTTTTGGGAACTGACTGATGAGAAAAAGGGTAGGCGTGGAGGAGGGGCCACTGTGAGCTGGGGACAAAGACAGCGCATCCGACAGTGACTCCATAAACCTGAACTCTATGGACAGATGCTCAATAACTTACAGAATGCAATTAATTAGCTGGAGTTCTACCAAGTATGGTTCCACCCGGAACTCGTAATTGAAAAGCAAGATTTCTATTTGAGTAGTGCTTTCACAGCCCTTACGTGCAATCGTAAATATTTGTATGAATCTTTCCAAATAGAGTATCTTTAGCTGAAACACAGTTTTGTTGCTTAAGATTGTGTTGGAAGTCTAAGCCACAAAAATACACTGGTTTAAAATATTTATTAATTCAAAAAAATTTTTAATTTTTTATACAAAGATGGTGAGAAAAATCTCATGCAAACTCTGGGCATACAAGAAAATAACTTAAATATTAATAGGATGATTTTGTACAAAATAATTCTTTTTTAAGTAGGACCTCCCACAGAAAGCACAGCCCCCTTCTCCAGGCCCGATGTCCCCGGAGGGGGCTGGGGCGATCGCCCTTTGACCTGGAGGTGGTCCACGGTCCATGTGTCCAACGGTCACAGGTGTCACTATGATGATGAACAGCCTATACACTACTACTCAGAAGACTAGACCCGGGGACCCGAGCCGGGACGTCCCAACACCACAGAACTCCTGAAGGATGGAAGGAACTCATGAAGATTTTCAGAAAAGTTTCAGATAATCAGCTCGACTCATGAAAACACCTTGAGATGGTTAGAGATGGTGTCTGTTTCTGTTGAGGTACAAACCTGCAGCAGATTTAGAATCTGTCTATATTACAAGTCATTTGCATAATTAAAGCAATGAAGGGAGCAACATATCATGGCAATTAGAAATGCATCAAACTCGGAAAGTTGTACCAAAGAGAGCTTCAATATGAAACAATAACCCTCTGAGAACGAAGCCCACGGCCCCTGGGGCTCCCGACCTGGCTGCGTGGGCGCCCGTCCGCCCAGCCCCTGCCACGCCCAGCCTGATGGCATCTGCACACACTCATCTCATTTTCCGCAGCCTGAGTCTGTTTTCCTTGTCCCGTTTCTTGAGAATAAGGATGAACTGGTTGAAAAAATGCTCCTGGTCCTTCCGTTTTTGGACAAGTCGAAACCTCTGATCCCGGCCGTACTTCTCAGCAAACTCCTTAAATGTGGTCCTGAAAGACCAAAAGCATCCTGTGACCCCTTCCTGGAGAAGAGCGGGTCCTGGGGCTCTGAGTACCTCCTGCCTGAGCTCAGGGTGGCGAGCTCCCTCTTCCAGACCCGGGAGCAGGACCCTTGGCAGGAGGACGGGCAGAAGAAACAGCGCTGGGCCTCCGACACCACCTGCCTGCTCCCTTCACGGGCTGTTATTCCCCACTTGGCCCGGCAGGGGCCTGAGCCACGTAACTCACACACTTGCCCATCTCTGCATCCAACCGGCCCGTGGGCATGAGCCTGGCCTCACCTGCCTCCTGGGCCTGGTGTCACTCCGAGCTTCTCGCTCCCCGCCCCCGTCCCCGCTCCGGCCGCACAGGTCTTCTGTCCGCTACTCTCACTGTGCTGCAACTTGCCGTGGTCTTTGCCTATGCGGTTCCCTCTGCCTGGCACACCCTTCCCTCGTTTCTTCACTCACCATGTGAAGCCCTCTCCTCATTAGATGTCAGGACCAGCCTGTCTTCCTCAGGGAAACGCGTCCTATCTACGGGTCGGAGAACTGGGTATCATCTCGATGAGCCTCAACTGCAATGTTACTCGCCTCTCCCTGCTCCAGTAGAAGTGTGTCACCTGCTTTGTTTTCTGTGGAGCATCTCGAATGTCTAAGCCCAGTGCCGGCGTCTGCTCAGCACCCAGATACTGACTGAGTCCATGACTGCCAGGCCAGGGAGTCCCCCGTAAGAAACTCAGTGGCGCCAGCCAGGCCAGGCCAGAGCGGGTGGGGCAGCTCAAAGGGCAGAAGGAGTGGACGTGGCTTTGCAGACAAATGGAACCTTTGCCAGCAGCAGCTCCCCATGGCTTCCTCTTCTCCCAGGCCGGAGCTTGAAGCCGGTGGTTGGGGCGGCTCCAGGCGGTGGGGCGGGGGCGGGAGGGGAGAGCGGAGGAGCCGGTTCCTGCAGACGCTTCCGCCTGCCTTCTGCTTGCAGAGAGCTGGGCTGGAGCTGCAGGAGGGGCCCTGGGTGAGCAGAAGCGTGCTCGCCCTGTGCCCGGGGAGGCCCCTTGCTCCTCCTATTTCTCTTTGTGGAGAAATGTATATTTCATTGCGGACATTTAATGGTTGCATTAAATTATTATAACTTAATGGTTCTTTCTTTATACGTGAATAACAAGATTATACTGACATGGCTGTTAGGAGACAAGATGAATAATTAGTAGACCCATCCTCACTGCTGTCACTAAACGATGAGTCTCATTCCTTCCTCACCAAGCACTGCTGTCCTCCCTGCACACCCCGGGATTCCGCGTGCCAGACGCTTCCCGAGGAGAGAAAACTCTTCTCTCCGGTTTTCAACTTTCTCCGTTCGTTCTTTCCTTCTTTCCTCCCTCCCTCCCTCCCTTCCTTCCATGATTTCACAATTGCCATGAGGTGTGACTAACACACACTTATTTGAGCTTCCATCGCTGACCTTCTTGGGGAAAGTAAGATGCTGAGAGACACAGGGGCTTGTTATTTTGGTCGTGTGTCTAGGGGGAGCCCGAGCGTCTTCAATCAGGGGCTGGGCGGAGCCCCTTCTAGAGAGGCCCTATTCTGGGCACCTCTAAACAGAAGTATCCCTGAAAAGAAAAAAGAAAACTCCGACCTTTAGCCGGGCCCACGGGGACAGCCTGGCTTACTGCTGACCCTGGTGGACCGTCCAGTGAGCCTGGGGAAGTCCTTTGAGTCACCTGCACTGCGTCTCCCTTTCCCCTGGGGACGTGGCCACCCGCAGTTGAAGGAGGTGGCCGCTGTGGCCAGAGCACCAGTCCGCCAGCCCACGGGGAGGTCCCCGGAGGCTCCTCTCCCCTCTCCAAGACCCCGAGAGCTGGGCAGGGCTGGGATCTGGCCCTGGACTATCCCCACGGCTAGGATCAGAGCCAGGATGACTGGAGGCGGGGCTGAGGGTACTCAGGATGCCTGCGCTGAGCCCGCTGGCGACCAGTGGACGCCTGCGAAATGGCGGGAAGAGAATGTAAAGAAGACCTGAAGAGGGTTTTGAAATGTCATAGAATTAGCTACGTTTGAAATAAAAACTAGTTTTATAATTATAAAAGCAATATATGCCCAGTGTACATTTCTAACAAACGGCAGGCAATCACATCTAACTTCAAAGAAGAGTAGCTTCACTTCTACCGCTGACTTTCCTTCTCTGTGTGCGTAATCGTTTTCGTAATTGCTGAATACATTCTGAACATTTCTCCTTTGCCTTCATAACATATTCATGGGAGGGGGACTAGGTTGGCTCTTGTTAACATTTTACCAATGGATGGACACAGACAGCACCAGTGGTAATGATGGGAGCTCTCCAGGACCTGCCAGGAAGCCCCACACACCATCCTCCTAGTGGCCCGGGGGGCAGGGCAGCTACAACCCCTCAGATCAAGACACCTGAGCTGTGAAGGTCCAGTGCCTGACCCTGCAGCGGGGGCCAAGGATGGGCAGGGCTGCTGTGCACTGAGGCAGGGGCTCTGGATCCAACTCCCCCCTCCCACCCAGGGTCACCAGCTGGGGGGACAGGGCAAAGCCATGGCTAGAACCCAGAGTTCTCACAGAAAATCACAATTTACAAGTCGTTAGGCCCACATTTGCTTTCCGAGGTTAGCATTTGGTGATGGGGACGATTCATGTGAATTTTTTTCCCATTCAGAAAGTATCTATCCTTTAAATAGTCGAAGAAGTTTTCTGAGGCCTATGTTACCAACACTAAATTATATTATCCAATTATTGGCCAATGAATTAAGCAATTATTGATCAAAATGTAGATGCCTACATCTGCATGGAAGGCAAACATCAATTAATGTTCATTTAAATATGATTTATGCATTATTATTAAAAATGCATGATGTCAGCCTTATTATTAAAAATCATAATGTGTAAATGTCCATTTAAAAATAATGTCCCAATTTAAAATAAAAATACATCAAGATCAACCATTTTTCGCTCTTAAAAGTTATACTTGTATAATTAAGTAGTTCTTGTGCATTAATTTTTAAATGTCAATTAAAGTTAATTTTAAAGTCGAGCTCAGCTTATGTATTCTTCTAGTTTCTAACATCGTTTTCATATTAGTTTGTTGTATTTCATGGGAATAATGCCTGAGTATCTCAGGTGAGGTTGACAGCCAAGTTCACTCAGGCCCTTTGCTGGTGTGGAACGTCTTCACTTCACACTCTGGACAGCTGCCCAGGCGTGTGGAACCCAGGGGCTGGTGGGGTTTATTTTGCTGTTGCTGTGTATCGTTTGTCTTGCATTTGTACCCCTCCATCATTAGATCAGGGGAATCAGGCCCCATCTCACGAGGGCTGACCTATTGATGAGTTATTTTGGCCTTAGAGTCAGGGCTGCTGACCTGTGGAAAACCACCACGTAAGCTGGACAGAGCTGCTGGGATGCCTTTGGTTAGCAAGCAGGGCTGGGAGGTTTGCTCACGGCCGGCACAGGGGAGAAGGGCTTACCTCTCCAAAATTACATGTTTGATGTCTATGGAACATAGGTCACATGATTTAACCCAAACTGACTTTAAAAGACCCCTTACAAAATTTGGTAAATTCCCAGCCCCAGAAATCGCCTGGCCTTAACTCACTTTCCATACCTGGGTGAGACTTTAGATTCCTCTAGAAGTTTTTTGAATTCTTCTTTGGCCAGCAGCAATTTGCTTTTCTTTTCCTTGTATTCTTCTTTTATTCTTGTCTTGACAAACTGTTCAAATATCTTAAGACACACACAAAACAGAACTATTACAAGAATGCGTATTGGAAATGAACTCCTGCGCTTCAAACACCACACAAAACACAGCAAGAATCTGAGATAAGCCTGTCTTTTTCACAGTTGCTGGAGCTAAAAACCAGAGCCTTTAATCTGGCCTCTCCGTGAAAGCAAGTGTCTGGACAATTACACCTGCTCTCCCACGAGGCCAGTGCGCTTTTCCACGTCCAGACACCATCTGGGGGCCAAACGCTGAATCAGCCTGCTTGGAAATCCTGGGTATGAGTGGGCGGCCCTCTCTAGAGGTGTGGCGGGAGCAGTGGACAGTTTGGAAATCCCAGCTCCAGTGCTCCGATATTTCTTGTTTTGGAACCTCTTGAGCACCACTTACCTGCACGCACTGTCTCACCGACTTTCACAGCCTGGCCAGCGGTACCATGACACGTGAGAGTCTGTACTTTGTTCTAGTAATCCCTGTGGCAATGTAACTGGCATTTGAGTCTCCAAAGTGACTTTGAACTTGTGAAAAGAAAGTCAACCCAGCATCTCTCGTTTCCCACACTCTAGTCTTCAAGAAGACCTACTTGTGAACAAGGGTCTGGTTCCCCAGGGGCTCCTGTGGGCAAGGTGAGCCTCTCCTTGGTGTCATGGAAACACCCAATGAGGAGACCCGACCACCAGGCACTGCACTCCTTCTCCCCAGCTCGACGAGAATGGGCTTTGAAGGCTACCTCCACAGGAAAACCAGACCCTTAGCCCACAGGATATCGATATTGTCTGGTAGGCAAATCCATCCAAGACCCTGGGAAGGTTTCTCTTGGGTACTGGCAGCCGACATGACAAAATGCCCCCAGGGAATCATCCTTTGCAGTAGACCATAGAGTGAGCCTCCCTTGCTTGGATTAAGACCGCTCATTGTTCTAATATCAGAAAATTGTCATTTGTAGACTAAAGCCAAAGGGAGGTGGAGACAGCTGTTTCATTCCCAAAGCTCTCCAAGCCTCGAAAACGTTGAAAGGAGAATAAACTGGAGAAAATTTAGATGTGTGTACGAACGCAGATAAGAAGATCAGCAAAGAGCCCACATCTGATCCTATGAGGCCAATGAATAGCAGTTCTGTACCAACCCAATCAGTGGTCACTGCAGATACTGGAATCTGACGAAGAGCTCAGGGAATCTCCCGCCCTCCTGCCCAGGACATGGAACCAGGCGGTGGCGACTTGGCCGAAACCCCATCACTCCCCTGCAGAACGGGTGTCCCGGCTCTGCCTGACGGTTTCAGATTCCATTTCAGTCACGGCCAGCCTTTACAGGAGTATAAATACAAAATGCTACTCGCCTCCTGAAGAATCATCAGCAAAATGAAATATTCAGGAACAGGCCTTAGATGGAGAGCGTGCGTATATATTTAAGTAAGAGTATGGTTGGCTTATTTCACCTTCAAGGCAAGCGGTCATGTAAACTCTCCAGTTCTTCTATAATTTAAGCTCATAAAGAAGGTAAACGCAGGGTTATTATGCAAATAAAAGCGTGTGGGTCCATCATTAGTCAGAGTTTTGCTCTATTAATTTTAAATCTGGATAGAGACCCTGGCTGGTGGTGGGGTCAGAGCTGGTGAGAAAGGCCTCCTTCTCTCTCTGCCTGGAATCATTTATCCCTCTAATCAGATTTGCTCTCTCCTCTGCCTTTGCTCTGCTGCTTTATTTATGCCGCTATAATTTAATGTAACAGTTTTTTTTCCCCCTCCTCTTTAACAAATTATACCAGTTTTATTCAAAATGGGGCATGACTTTTTAAAAGAGAGACCATTGGCCATTATCTCGTCATGGCGTGTTCCAGTGAAATAAGATGGAACGCTCTGTGTTACCATAGAAACAGGTCTGACGAGCGCTCCCAGGACCCCTACCCTCTACTTCGGCTCAGTCACATCTCCTCTGCAGACCCCGTGGAAGGGTGGATGCAGTGCACACACCATGAGCCTCGGCTTTTCCCACGAACACTATGTGACAGTAGGTCCCACACAGAGTCCATGTCTGGTGTTGCCGGCCCAATTCATTCATAAATAGGACTGTGTTTTCTGAATGGGGCCCAAATATTGTTTCCTTCATCAGTTCAGCTTCAGCCCCGTGCCTCTTAGAAACCACAGCACTGTCGATTTGCTGGGGTGGGGTTTCCCTTACGATGCCTGCGTGTAATCTGAGGCCTTTAGCTACGGGGAGCCCTGCTTCCTCCTCCTGGTGGGGCTCTGGGACCACGCTGTGGTATGAACACAGGCCTGCTGTTTCCTCTGCACGATTTCCCAGGGACGTCTGAGGGCCCCCCACCAAACGGCGGGCTCTGGCTGTGAGCTGACCTTCTAGTCTGATCTGTCTGCCCCGAGAGCACCCTGGCAGTCACAGCCCCTCTCGGTCAGCGCCTGTCTCTCTCACCAGGGCTGTGGGAGTCCAGCCGCCCTGCTCCCGTGGGTGAGTCTTGTGCCATGACCACCCCCCAGACACCCGGAGGGCAGGAGACCCTGCCCTGCCCAAGAGCCTGGTCCATTCCAGGCAAACGGTGCCCTGAGCTCCCTGACGTCTGAGAGACGGGGCTTAAGCACTGAATCATCAGCTCGGCTTTTCTCGGGGGTGCGGTGGGAAGGGTCTCACTTCTTCACTTCTTCAGCTTCCTTTAAAGGGGCTGATGGCCTCTAAAACCATCCATGGACTAGAGATGAAGAGTGTTGATCACGACAGTCAGCGACAGAGTCTACAGCTGTGCTGACCTTTATCTGTTACGGTTTAAAGTGATCTTGTCACCAAAATAAACGGGCTTCTCTCTGGTCACAGCTGGAGAGCTGAACTTTGTGATTTGTAACAGGGCAACAAAAGGGTGAGATATTACCAATGATTACAATCACCGAGTTTCCTCGGCTGTGGGGAAAACAGATATAAAACACCCAAACACACAGCGAGGCCCTGCCCGCCTGGCCTGCGTGCAGCCCCTTGGTCTACACCTAAGGGAATTTCACGAGTTGATGACAGAATTGAAAATAAATTGCACTTTCCATCCCCCTGGCCCGGGCTTTCCCAGACCCTGCTGTCTGAAATCAGACGGATGCCGCCAGGGCCGCGACATCGGAGGTGAGATGACCCTCGTGGGCTTGTGTCTCCAGGGATGGCGCCTGGTCACCCACTTTCCACATGTATCTGCTCTGCACTCAGAGGGCAGAGGGAGGGAGACGCGTGATTGGGGCGGGAACACAGATGCAGACGCAGAATCTGGATCCTTCTGGAATTTATCTCGGGGCCCTTGTTGGATGTGCTCCAGGAGCCACCAGATCCTGGCAGGGTGTGAAAGCTCAGGCGTCCCCACCGGTCAGCACAGCCCGTCCCTCTGTCTGCTTAATCCGGGAGACAGTTCTGGCTCCATGACTTGACTTCTCTTCAAGCCAGGGCAGACCCCTGTCACATGTCCATTTAAAGTGACCTCCGGGCCAGCTATCTCTAATCCATTCTTGCTTTTCTGGGGACCCACTTTCTAGAAAAGTCCATCCTTTACTTTTGCTACTGTTGTTCCCTGGACCCTCTCCTATTTCACTTTTATTATATCAGATCTTAAGTCTTTTTAATACAGTCACCCAGGATGTGGTCAATGTTCCCCAAAGCTGAGTTTTCACCTCTGTGTTTGTCTCATGGGGTCATGACCAGGCGGCTCGCCAAGAGCAGGCACCAGGGTAGCCTCCCGCTGCCCCCGTAGCTCTTCCCGTTCACAAGCTCACAGGCCAGCAGTGGATTCTCATGGCTTCCCCACTGACACGGCAAAGGTGACAGGCACCTGCTCCTCCGCAGAGCTGTCAGGACGGAGCATCACTTTAACTCTGCGTCCCCGAGTCCGTCACCACACCTCCTACCACCTTACCTGTTTCCGCTCCTCGGAATTTAGCAGGAGATAGCGCGGATCAAACACGATTTTATGTAATTCTTTCTCCCAGGTAGAAAACGCTGACACCTGAAGAAAGATAGTCAATAGAGCTGCTTTTAGCATCTCATGCTGAGCCTGGAGTCACACTGAAATGATCAATGGTGAGACACAGCACTAAGGAACTGGGGTTGAGGGATGTAGCATTGTTTAAAAGTGTTCAACTTGTCAAACTTTTAAGAAAATCAATATTTAGAGCATTTGAAAATCGAATTTCTAGACTCATGACACTATTTCCTCCCTGGATATCTTCCAGAGCCATGCGTCCTGATCTAAAACCCCAACTACGCCTGTGAAGCTGGGACATTCTGAAATGCCACATTGTGAAAGGACGTATTTGTAAAACTTTTCAGGACACCGCAGGTCGTAACAGAGGACAGTGTTTTAGAAATAATCAGAGTTTGGCACAATTTCAATTGATTTTTAATCAACATTTAAACCTTCTTTAGGTAGGTCACCTTTTTAAACAAACTACCCTACTTTCTAATAGTTTTAGATTTATAGAAAATTTTCGAAACTATTAGAAGCTACCGTCTACCCCATACCCAGTTTCCTATATTGCTGACATCTTAATGTTAGTATGCTACGTGTCTACACTATTATTAACAGGAGTCCACACCTTACTCAGGTTTCTTTAGTTTTTCCCTAATTTTTTTTTCTGTCCCAGGATTCCACGCAGGACACCACATCACTCATGTCTCCTCGGGCTCCTCTGGGCTGTACAGTTTCTCACTCTCCTTGGTTTCGATGACCTTGATCGTTCTGAGGAGTACTGGTCAGGTATTTTGTGACATGTACCTCTGCTGGGATTTGTCTCAGTTTTTCTCTTGGTTCGACCAGGGCTGTGGGTTTGGGGAGGAAGACCCCAGAAAACGTGCCCTTCTTGTCACATCCTATCAAGGTCCATACTGTCAATGTAACTTATCAGAGCTGATGTTGACCTTGACTGACCAGCTGAGGTCTTTCCTCTATGAATTTATTCTTTTTCCCCTATCCCATGCTGTCCTCCTTGGAGGGAGGTCACAATGTACAGCCCACACTTAAGGGGTCCGGCTCCACCTCCTGAGATGGGAGTATCTGTATAAGCTCCTTGGCATTCTTCTGGATGGGATATTTGTCCATTCTCTCCCATTTACTTATTTTTTCAATCATTTGTTTATATCAATATGATTCATGGATATTTAGTTCATACTTTGGGTTATAATCTAACATGATTATCGATCTGCTCCTGGTTTGGCTGTTGTGGTTGGCGCCTGTGTCCCTGGGACGTACCCCATCATTTTGTTTTCTGGGCCCTTCAACATGCTCCAGGGTCATCTCATATCGCTCCTACCTTGGCCCTAGAATCAGCATTCTCCAAGAAGCCCTGGTCCCTCTTATTGGAGACCTGGGTGCCGGGTGAGCTCACTGCTGCTGGGATGTTGTTGATCCAGACTCTCTCAGCTGATGGAGCAGTGAAACATTTAAGTCATCCAAAAATAACTTATTCATTTAAAAGCATTGACCAAATATTGACTGTGCCTTAGGAGGCCCACGGTCCAGGGTGAGGCAGAAAAGCTATAACTCAGGATCTCCTGGGGGGCATTAGCGTCCTTCCAGAGACATGCCCAGGAGCCAAGGGGACACAGAGAAGGGCCTGGGGAGAAGTTGTCTCGCATAATGACTGTGCTGGAACTGGGCCCATGAAGGGCCTGGGAGGTGTTCAGGAGGAAGTGTCTGTGGAGCGAAGGCCAGGCTCCAGGAACTGTGGGGAATGTGGGAATTACAAGGGTGGAACATGGTTGGGATGAAGGAGGCTATGAGGGGCTGGGAAGAGGCAGGAGAGACGGGCAGAGCAGATGTGCGAGACACTCCCAGACCTACTTAGGAACTAGGGCCTTGTCTGGAGAGCAACGGGGGAAGAAGAGCCAGATGTGATGTGTATCTAGGAGCCGGGGCAGGGGAGGGGCTCCCGGGACGTGGGGAGGTGAAGCCAATGGGCAGTTTACAAAACCAAGATCCCTTCACGTTCTTACTTTGAGCAGGTTAGAGTATTTCTGGTAGAGATATTATTTCAATAGGAATTGTGCTTTGCTTTGTACATCGTAACATAATGACTTTTCAAACTTGACAACTCCTATCTTCAGTAATAAAAAGGAAAGCCCTTTTTAATACTCATGAGCTCTTCTATCAGGCAGGGTGACCCAAACTCCACCCAGGGACTTTTTTCAGTTGACTAAAAACATGGTGAAATTTTGACACGTTACAGGGATTGGGGGTAGGGGCTCTGGAAAAGCATCAGGGCAGAATGATTTCTCTGTTTTTCGAGAGCTGACACTTGACCACGTGAGCATTAGGGTGGATTTGGAGAGAAGGAATGGCCAACTTCAATACAGCCCAATCAGGTGGGCATCTATCCACCATGTAGAGACCTGTAAACTCCTCTAAGGTCCTAGTTTTGTAAGGAAGGCCAACAATTGGTAAGAATTGGTGTCACATAACTGATGCCACCAGTTTTTTGAGAAGTTTTGGAGTTCTAGATGTAAAATAAACTATATTTTAAAAAAATAATACATTGTCCTTGCCTCCAGAGGAATTTACAATCTGTATACAAGGCAAGATGAGCCATCTCCCCAGTGACTGTAATTTATGATAAAACAGACGTCGTCACATAACCTGACAGCCACACTAACAGATGCTCTTGAAGTTCAGAGGAGGGTGGCAGTTCTGGACAGAGGGGCAGCTGGACTTGGGACCTGTGACAGAGGCTGGAGCAGAAGGGAAATCTGGACAGTTGAGTGTGAAACGGGGCCCGTCACTGCCAGCGGGTGGACACAGCCTTGTCTGTGAGACAGACTCTTCCCAAAGAAGGACGCTGATGACTGTCATTCCCTCGACTGTGAGACTCACTCTTGACGGAAGCCCAGCCTCCCTGGACCTGTGTCCCCACGGTCACGTTGTCTGGTAGGTTCATTCCATGGGGCAGGGGCTGAGGCCTTCCCTTTCTTGCTGGAGGCCCGTGGGGAGCCTTTCTCCACTCCCAGGGGTCCCCAAGTTCTCCACGGTGGGCCCTCCACAATAGGCTGGCTTCCTTAAAGCCAGTGGGAGAATCTCTATATATGAGACCCAATCTTACATAACATGGTGTCACACCGACATGGGGGTGGCCCCCCCATCCTATTTGGAGTCCTGCCCACTCTCAAGAGAGGGGATTATTCAAGATGTGCGCCCCGGGGTGGGAGTCTTGGGGCCACCCTAGAACTCTGCCCACACAGCAGGTCCCCAAGACAAATGCATGTTCTTGCCTCTAACTTGGCCTTCGTTTCTCAACAGTGATCTCCATCCCTCATCTGCCCAACAGTCCTTTGAATCTTTGACATTTTACATGTGATTTGGTCCAGGATCGTGGAATTCTTCAGCCAGTTTTAGACCCTTTCCTGCAGAAGTCCCGTCCTTCCCTGCAGCCTGACCGTGTTGTGTAGTGCTTCCATCTCCCTTCCTGGGCCGTGTTCTGTGATGTATACATCATCTCCTGGCACTTGGCAACCTATTCCATCTCAGGGTGCTGACACCAGGTGACTCTGTGCCGTGGGCGAAGGTCAGCAGTAACTGTCTTGGTGAGAGTGTGTTTGGACACTGTCCTGGCCCACGCCGCTGGCCTCTGGTTAACACTCATGCACAGCTTTATTTAACTCCCCTCTGGAACATCACCCCCTATGGGCTGGGAATCGGGACACATGGGCAGCGGGTCCCTTGAGCTGTACTGGAGGCCAGCCTCCTGCAGTCCTGTGCTTCTCCCGCCGGCAGACTCCCCTCTGAGTCATCCTCGGTTGTCTGAATTGTGTTCCCTGCCATTTCTACAACAGAAGACACCAGCGCTGGTGGTCTGAAACACAGGCACAGAGAAGGAGCCGCAGAGTGGACCGGCCAGGGCACAGTTCCCAAACCTGGACAGATGCCGCCATAAAGTGGAAACTGTCAGCAGGCGCCCGCCCCCGGCATTGGCCCGAGGCTGCCGCCTGGCTGGCTGACACGTGGGCATCCCGTGTGGCACTGTCTGCACCTACAGGTGTCACTGCTGGAGGCATGACAGTTCCAGCGAGGCTGGAGATCAAAGGGGAGACAAGGGTACCCTCTCTGTGGCCACATACACCAGGTCCTTCCTGTCACAGCTGTTGTCAAGGTTCTCCCAGAAAAATAACCTTGTTTTAAAACCCCAAAGAATCGTGCCAGCACAAGTAGCAAAATGACAACGTCATCCTCGTCGCCTTTGGGGGTGGTCATCTCCTGCCTGGACGACCACAGTGGCCTCCTGACGGCTCCCGCCCCCAGCATCATTTTCCCTTGACCCGCAGCCCCCATCTTTCCAAGAGCCCTCAGACCAATGGGTCGGCCACTCGGCCAGCACCGAGGCCTCTCGGGTCTGGCCCCAGCTGTCCACCCAGCGTCCTGTCCAGCTGAGTGGCCCTGAGCGACCCCCACCAGCGAGGGTCCCACGCCGGGTGGCTGACCCCTCCACCCCCTCCACCTGCGGGGCACGGCAGGGTGACGCCCCCTCGGAAGCCACCATGAGATGACGCTTCCCCGGATGACACCGCCTCCAACCTCAGCCCCACCTTCACGGAAACCTCTCCGAAGGCCAAGGAGTGGGTCCTGCATTGCTCCTGGGGAAAGGGACTCCGTTAAGTAACGTGGTCTGAGAGCGTTGGGTTAAGGCTAAAAAGCGAGATAATAACGCAAGTCCCGTGGGTGCCACGGGGCCATGGCCGTCCCCTTGGGGTCCTGCCCCCAGGCTGGGCACCCAAAGGAGGCAGGCATGCTTCGTCTCTGAAACCAAAGGCAGTTTTGAGTGCTTGTCAACCCTTGGGTCACAGAAAAGGCCAGGAGCCGAAGGAAGAGAGGAAGGCACCCGTCTGCCTGTCTGTCTGCCTGCACGTGCTGGTCGGACCCTTGGCTGGCATCCTCTCTCCCCTTCCTATCACCTCTGGTCTCTCCTGGTCTCAGGGAAATGGACCAAGGCCTCAGCTGGGAGGTATGAAGGCCTCTCTCAC